CGTCAAGTGTGGTGAGCGCACGCGGATCAACCGCGCCGTACCTGCAGGATAATAGAATGTGTTATGTTAGATGCCCAGCTGTGTGGCCTGACTGCCAGTTTGCTTTCACTTTAAGTGTACTTCTAATTTTTTGTTTCAAAAAAAACAAAAAAAACAAAAAAAACGCGGATCTACCGTGCTGTACCTGCAGAATTATTAATTTTTAAGGGGGGTGGGGTGGGGTGGGGGGGGGGGAGAGCAGGAAAAGAGAAAGAAAAAGAAAAGAGAAAAAGAGGGAGGGTCTCGGTCAGGCCGTAGCCTTGGCGCATGGGCGCGTTGAAGAATCCTGCAAGATAAAGAATGGAGACGCAATACGATATGTTATGTTTCAATACCAGTCCTACCACGTCGGACCTGCAAAAAAATAGAGCGCCCCCCCCCCCTCCCGCTTCTGCCTTGCCCCCGCCGTCGATTTGCAACCTGTTTTTTTACCTGTTTACCCAGGTTCGTACGGGTAGGATCCTACCCGTAGGGTATGTACTGTTAGATGCCACAGTCGTAATACGGTATGTAATGTTATCTTGCAGTTATAACGCAGAGTGACGTCCAGACGCTGTCACACGGGGCCATCTGGACGCAGAGACTGCACCCCAGGCGGTAGAAGGGGCATCATGACATAACATAACACATTGCGCCTGCAAGATAACATCCTCTAACATAACATAACATAAATTGATACTTAGATACGACTATGGAGCTGTACCAGTTTTGCGTCGCGCCCGCCGCGTGCGCAACAATTTTGACAATAATATATTACTATTAAAGGGCACACAAAAGAAGGCTCAGTTTCTTAACATTACGGTTTCTAATTGCCCGCGACCCCCTGCAGATGACTATGGAACCGCACCAGTTTTGCGTCGCGCCCGCCGCGTCTGCAACGTTTAAAACTAGATTATGGGGCGAGTGCAATTGTGCAAAAAGTCGTGACAGCAGACCAATTCGAATCCGGACTGAGCCGAATCCGGAAAACTGCCAAAGAAAGACCGTTGCAAAAGCAGTACCAGTTTTGCGTCGCGCCCGCCGCGTGCGCAACGTTAAAACCCTGCGCGCCTGTTTTTAAACTCTGCGCAGCGGCCATTGTTGTGGCGTTGCCGCGCGTCCCGCTGTGTGTGTGTGTGTGTGTGGGGTGGGTGGGGGGGGGGGAGGTCTAGATGTAGGAATGTGTAAATACCTAGAAATACGTCTGTCCCATGACAGTTCTACACCGGACCCAAGCGTTGAGAGAACACTCGGATCATACTAAAGCATTTTTTTAAACCGCAAACTACCGCCCGCCATAGTTACCTGAGCCCTGCATACCTGCATTTTTAAACCGCAAACTACCGCCCGCCATAGTTACCTGAG